CGCGTACTGCGTGGAGCTGAGTTTAACACTGATCACAAATTGGTGCGGACCAAACTGTACATATATTTTCGTAAATCTATGTATTGCACTCCCGAGGTGAATCGGCGTAAATTTAAATCCTTCGTCGGTACTGTGGCGAAACGTATTGAGCTGGAGAAGGCGATGGCTGCACGCCTGTGTAATGTGGACTGCATAGCCACAGTGGGCGACCTGTGGCACCACATTCGCGACCAGGTGACAGCTGCTGCCGAGGAGACCATCGATGACACAAACTGTAGTCGGTCTGATTGGTTTGATGAGAACAATGCGACGATTGGCGCATTGGTGTCGGAGAAGAATGCGGCATTTGCTACACATGTGGCAGACCCCAGTGACTTGGGGAAGAATAGTCAGTTTCGCAAACTACGACGGCGCCTGACCCGAAAGCTCCGTCGCATACTAAATGAATGGTGGACGGAGATGGCGAAGCAGATGGAATGCTACGCCGAATGCCGGCAACACAAGGAATATTTTGACTCCTTGAAGGCAGTGTATGGAATGAGTTTGGAGCCGGTGAGGAGGCTGATCGATGGTAGTTCAGGCGCTACCTACACACAGACTGCAGATATAATGCAGATCTGCAGCAAACACTTTGACTGTCTCTTGAACAACCGTTCAGAGATCGACTGGCCTACATTGAACGGCCTGAAGCAGCACGATGTGAAGGCTAGTCTGGCGGACACGCCGACACTGGATGAGACGCAGAGAGCACATGCTCAGCTGCGAAACGGCAAGTTTGCCGGTGCCGACGGGATCCCGCCTGAAGTATTGAAACACGGCAGACCCGCGTTGTTGACTGTGTTGCATCACTTGGTGAGACGCGTATAGATTGAGGAGGAGGTGCTTCCTGAGCTGAAGGATGCCCTTGTGCTACCACTGTACAAGGGCAAAGGTAGCAAGCAATGTTGCACGAATTATCGTGGCATCAAGTTGCTGAGTTGTGTGGGCACGGTGATTGCCCGAATCCTGCTCAACCGCCTCGTCAGTCAGGTTGCGGAACCTAACGTGGCGGAAAAGCAGTGTGGATTCCGTTCGGGCCGCAGCACTATAGATATGGTGTTTGCGGCTCGTCAGTTGCAGGAGAAGTGCAGAGAACTACACCAGCAATTGTACTCGCTTTTTGTTGATTTCACCAAGGCATTTGATACGGTGAACCGCGAGGCATTGTGGCTGGTGTTGGGTAAGTTTGGTTGCCCACCTAATTTTGTAAGTGTAATTGTATGTCTGCAAACTGGTATGCGGGCGAGGGTGCAGCTGAGTGGAGAAACCTCGGATGACTGCATTTGTCTCTAGTGTGAAGCAAGACTGTGTCTTAGCTCCTGCCCTGTTTAATATATAGCTCCATGCAATGTTGTCTTGTGCTTTTGATGCCGCTTGTGCTTACGGTGTTCGTGTGGAGCAGCGTAGGGATGGTGGGTTTCTGGACATCCGTCGTTTCGATGCGAGAACTTTAGTCTGTGAGACAACTATCCGTAAGTTCCTGTTTGCTGACAACCGTGCCTTGTTTGCACACAGCGCGGATGAGTTGTAACACCTGACTAGTGCTCTGACTTCGACAGCGGCCAAATTCGAGCTCACCATCAACACAAGCAAAACTGTCTGTCTCTTTCAGCCTTCACCGGAGGTGCAATCTTCAATATTGCCGCGAATCAGCATTGGTGCTGAAGAATTGGAAACCACCTCCCGCTTCTGCGACCTTGGGAGTGTGACGTCAACTGATCAGCAGCTACACAGTGAGCTGCGTATTCGCGTGTCGAAGGCAGCAGTGGCATTCGGGAAGCTTGAGTACCGAGTCTGAAGCAACCATCAGCGTACCAATGACACGAAGCTGATGGTGTACAAATCCATGGTGCTGTCCGTTTTTCTGTACGGCAGGGAAGCATGGACCATGCATCGGTGGGATGTGCGATATCTCCAGCGGTTCCATCAGCAGTGTTTGCGACGAATTTGCGCATCAGTTGGGGCGACAGAGTTGCTGACACGGAAGTGTTGCGCCGAAGTGGGATGTATGCAGTGGACTGCATAATTTTACTGAGACACCTGAGGTGGTTCGATCATGTGAGCCGTATGGATTTGACGCGGATATCGAAACAACTCTTATATGGTCAGCTGAGTAATGGGAAGCAGCATGCGGGAAAAACAAGGTTACGTTACCAGGACATGATCAAAGTGAGCCTCTCACGTACTAATCTTGCTTGCAGGTCATGGGAATCGAAAGCGGTTGTTCGCCGTGCATGGCACGATCTACTCACGAAGACAGTTGTCGAAGTGAGGGAGAAAGTCCTCATACATGCAAAGAAACGCTAAGTGCGGAAGCGGCAAGCACGGATGGTTTGCAATTTATCGACGTCGAGCACATGGTGCTGTAGCACTTGCGGTGGCGAGCGCCTGAGACAGGCAGGCCTAGTGAGCCATGAGCGAGGCCACTCTGGACCACTACCGAAGCGACGACGCGTCCTGCAGAGAACGTAGGCAGAACCGGCGCAGCGTTTGTAGGTACGCTGCATTCGATATACTAATCGCGTGCTTGCATGCTAAGTCTTTATTTCAGGTGGTGTGTTTGCACTTTTGTCCTAATGCATTTCTTTCTCATCGGAGTGTCTACCAGTACTGTCTTCCGTAAACTTGCACACCTCGCGAACTTAATTCGGATTCGTTTGTAAACAACATATTGCATATGTTCATTAATTTATGTCACCATTTCTTTATGCATTACGCGATTTATTTCCGTGTTATCTTTCTCTCAATGTTTGGCTGTTGCTTGATATCTCCCGTGTGGCTGCGCTTGATGTGTATATTGACAAGGTGTCTACATGTCTACAACCCACTACTTCGTCCATGTATGTCAACCGAATGGAAATGGCGTTCCACAGAGGTATAGGGTGTTCAAATATATTTTGCATCGATTTTCTAAGATCTCGCATGTATGTGCCGTGAATGACATTTGCCAGTTCTTACAGCATCTTTCGAGAGCTAATAAATCACTGCGTACCTTATCCAAAGTGTTTCAGATTTCTAGGAGTAAAAGTGTATAGTACCTTGATATAATATGCTAAAAGGTATGCTGTACCATTTTTAATAGTTTCCGTTATGTCATTAATCTACATCAAAATTAACAGTGGTCCAAGAACGCTCCCTTGGATCACACCACTAGGAACAGGCAGCGTTGATGACCTATGGGTTCATATTTGCGCTTTTTGAATGCGATCGGTAAGATATGATCAAAACCAAACGTGCAAGGGGTTTATGATGCAAAATTTTGACACTTTCCTTAACAGGGCGATGCGGCACTCTATTGAATGCTTTTTACATGTCGGTGTAAACGACGATAGCTTCATGACCGTTATTCACGGAGCTCGTTAAACAATTCAGGAATTCCAGCTGGCATGTTTGACATGATCGTTTCTGTATACTGCCATGCTGCGTCTGGTTAATCAGGTTTTGCGAGAAGGCATGGTTTATTGTTTTCTCTTTGACCATTCGCTCCATTACTGTCACAACTGCAGGCGTGTGACTTATCGGGCGGTACTTACTGAGGTCTACTTTTCGTCCAATTTGTGCCTCGGCATGACTAGCGCGAGTTTCCATTGGATTGGAACAAATGCTCGATTCCATGGACATGGTGAACCTGGTAAAGAGTAAAAACGGAATCGCTTGGCCCCTGTATTTTAGCATGAAAGTTAGTAGAACGTCTGGACCAGGATAAGAGGATGATCGTAGTCGGCCTATGTGGCGCTGACTATGCTGTGGAAAGTTACTGTGCTCAGTTTTACGACGCCAATTGTTGTTCTGGACAAAGATACGTCACATGGAACAATAAACGATGAGGTACATATATTTATTTAGAGTATTTACAATTGTGTAAGAATCCGTAGAGTGCTATTTGTCTAGTAGAGTAATGACGAAAACTAACAAGGGAATTTTATTGCGTGTCCGCATCATTTTGACTGTCCCAGTATTTGTTCATAGACTCCAGAGCACTTTTTAACTGAAACTCAGCAAGGAGATTGTCCTGGCCTAGTAATAAGGAAAATATCAAGCGTCCGTTTATTCTGAGTACTTACATTTCTAATTACTCTAATAAGCGCGGCGTTCTTAATAAAACGTTTATATTCGGTTATTATTTGATCAACGCAGTGTCTAGGATTTGTTATGTCAGCGTACATTTCATTAGCAGCAGTCTGTGATTCTTCTGTAAGGAGAAACCGATCCCAGTTTGTTGTTCCTAAGTTCTCCGCGTGGCGCCACCATAGGCAGAAAATTTGGTTTCGAGAAAATTACTGGTAATTCAAAACTGAGGTGTGCCACATTATGAGTACTACATGAAAAGAGAGACAGCACGCTCACAGTGTTGGTAAAAACGTCATGGGTAACTAATAAGTCCACTATATTGTTACCTCTGGTGGGTATTTGTACGGCTTTGGACCATCGTAGTAGCTCGATTTCTGAGATGAGACTCATGAGTCTACGTGCTGCAGGCCACTTTTCCCAGGAGACATTTGGCATGTTAAAATCACCACCCATTATTTTGTAAGCGAAGGCTAGAGCAGAGGGATATACAAATGCAGAAGAGAGACAATTTAGTTAGAGGGTGCCAAACTGCACATACACAATGTACTAGTATGTGAGTATTATCCAACTCCATGGAACCCCAGACGGATTCGTTGACGTTGTTTAGCTGTAGCCCTCAACTTGGTAATATGTATGAGATACATGGAGGAGAATCATGTTTCAATTACTAGTACTAAATTTGGAACTGTGAGAGCAATGAGACGGCGAGAGCTATGCATCTTATTATTCAGAGATGGTGCATTACTAAGAAGGATTATGACATTGCCCAGCTCAGAAGGAAAGTTTACTATTTCATGAAATATAGGGCATTACTGTGGTAGCAATTATGCAATTGGCAATGGTGGTGGTAGTTGAGAAACCTTGAGGCGATTGTACATGCGTAGTTAAACTAGGTTGAGAAACTGAATGATGAGGCGATGGCGCTCTTGGTATGTCAGATTGGGAAGTAAAGACGGTGGAGGCCAATTCCAACGTCGGCCAAAAAATTCGTCGGTATGACTTGCCGATGTTTGCACTTCTAGGTTTTGCTGGGGAATCCATGGATTAGCTGTGGTCCAACAGTTTTCCACAAATTGTGGGCTAGGTGTATAACTTCTTGTTGGTGATTTAAATGCTATTTCGCTGGACGGCGTAAGCTGTCGCAACTGTCTGCATTGGAAGTACAGCATCTTGACATCAGATGCGTCTGACAGGTTAAGGAGCACAGGATTGGAGCAATTCATAGAATATGGTTCAAGCCTTATCCCTGAACCTAGTTGCCTTTTCATGAACAGGTGCCTCGTCAGTGGGTTAATGATACTTGCCAGTTCGTACGAGGTAGGTATATTTAGATCTACGACTTTCCCAGGACGAGTATTAATCCGGGGAAGATGTTTCTAGTTCTTGAGCAGGTTGAATACAATTTAGCGATGGGGTAGGACAAATTGTTTTTGCGCACGCAACTTCGTGCCTAATCGGCGTTGGGGTTAAGTCAACCGACTTTGGGATATATCTACGTACATTTTCGTTCACATTTATATCCACAGATGGGGCAACAAGGTTAGAGGCAAATTCTGTCGTTCGGACTCTTGCAGGTTCGACGTGGGCGTCTAGGTTAATTTCAGGGGTCGGTAGCCTAGTAGTTTGCGCGTTTGGTTTGCAACCATAAGATCACTGGTTCGAATCCGCTTAGGGGTGGGTGTCCTCGCGGTATACTCAGCCCGCGTGCGACTAGTGGTGGTGGCGCGGCAGTGAAGCGCCGTTACGACGTACAGCTGACACATTATTATTCAGCGACACAGGTGTCACTTGTAGCGCCTTGCCGAATGCTACACAAGAAAACCGTAGCCCAGTAAGACAGAAAACGGCAAGATATAAAGAATGTCTTGAGAAAATAGCTATGTACAATAGCTATGTAAATATAGCTTGAGGACAGTGGGAGAGAGAGTGGTGAAGCAGAGTTACACCACGTCGGAGCACAACAGCCGGCAGCGCGCGGGCAAGACGGCGGACCAGGTTCAAATATGTAGTCCAGTATATATAGGCTTTGGATGGGTGCAAAGTAAAACAAAATGTGTACAAGTTTGAATGTTATGTTTGATGGAGTAAATGTCATGGTCACTACACACTTAAAATAGGTGTTGTCAATGGTGGTTCTCTAAACTTTGAGGCTAAATTGACTAGTGTGGTAACGCCCTTAGCTCGCATTTCTCTTTCAAGGCGTACGATCCGCTCTAATCAACGCTCTTTTAAACTCGGTTGTCATTATAATTATTGACCGCTTGTCAATGTAGGATGTTGCAGCCTCTGTGGTAGTGACTTTTAGAAGTACAGGCCATCGTGTTTTGTACCTTTTTACGAAGGCGCATGGCACTGCACTTTTCTCGATAATAGTAGCAGCTGATAAAAGTATTCACTTAAGTTTCTCAAAGGGTAGCTATCAGGTATATTAAATATCACGACGTTCGTAAAACGACTAATCCCTTCATGTGCCTCAGTTGCTATGGTGGCTATAAAGTTTCCGGCCCTTTCAAGTTCTTCAGTACATTTGGATTTTTATGGTTCCGTAATGTAAGTTAGTGGTGTCAGCAGATTTACAATACGTTCCACATACGCATGCGAGTTATAAGGTCTTTTAAGTCTACCTCCATAAATTATATTTTGTTATATACTTCCGTTACACTATCAGCCAATTGCATTTCTGAGGCTTCCGGAGATTTTCCTCTTGCTGATTTAGAAGCACTAGTAACTTCCGGTCTGTTCCGCAGGCAGGTTCGCTTTGTAGAGAAAGAGCCTTAGTAGTCAATATAAACACGTCAATCAATACAAAATTGCCTATACTATTCCACAATGATTTGTTTTTGATGCACGGCCCAACGTGGGCATATCCAACAGATTGTACTTTTGTCACCAAAGCAAGTAATTGTTTCTATTAAAACCTGCAATAGGTAAAGTGTTTAGAGGATCTAGTAATGGTAAGGTACGGTACGATAAGCTAAATCAATTTAGCCAGACTGCGGTGAAGAGGCATGGTATTTGCAACATCAAGCCTCAGCATACGGGCACACGTATGTGGGCATCTGTGTTCGGACTACCAGTAGGGTAAATACAGAACGCCTGCGTCTTTGCAGAAACGATGGGTAGTCGTCGCTGCGCTGCAACACTCGAGGAATTAGTGCAGTATCCGTGCAAAAGTCCTCGCCTCCGATGTTGCGAAAATGCGAGCATTCCGTTCTAACCCACTTTGCTCCATAAGGTTTGGCCGATTTGACGTGCACCGTCCCTGTTCAGTTACGTGCCACTAAGGGTCACATGTCAGTCCGTGGTGCCCTGTCTCACATTTGGCCTGTGCGGCACAGCCCCATCGTCGCCTCGTTGTTGACTGGCCAGACCGGCTGAGCTAAGGCACACACAGCCGCATGCACTACAGCTGCATGTGGGAGTAGCTGAAGAATTGTAGTCCGCCGACAGCTGATGCTTGCGTGTTGCACATTTAATTTCCCGATGCACCAGCTGCCTTTCTTGCGCTTGGGCAACAGTAAATAAATAAATAAATAAATAGTTTATTCGCAAATTCATAGAGACACACCAACCCAGGCATGGTCAATGTTTAAAAGCAGTTGTGTATCACGACGATACTTCGGGTTCAATCGTGTGTAGTTGAAACGGTCAAGGCACTATAAGTGTGATGAAACGGTGCATAAAGACGGAGGGTATCATATACTTGCATGTGTCGGGACGAGTTGAGATATGAGTCTAGTCAACTTGCCAGTATGTAGTTGTGGTCAGTCATTTTATTCAGTGGCGAGTCGCATCCGCCACCTCGCAGTGTTGTTAAACAGACATTTGTGGCTTTTTATAGGGAGAACGCTTGCCAGGCGAAAACCCACCACGTCCTGCAACACCGCTGTAAAGCATTGTAAACATTAATGTTGAACTGGGAAAGCCACTTGACTACTGGTTTCATATTCGGTTATTCGCAGACAAATGGCTCCTAATTTCCCCTATTAGTTGGACAGGTAATTTGATCGGGGTCGCGATGATTGTTGAGGTAGGTTGAGGAGAGGGACATCGCGACTAGTGGCCTTGTTGTGTGTCCAGGTTAACAAAGGTTCAAATTTTCTGCTGTCTGGAGTTTTCAGATGTATAATGTATAGCAGTATGAAGTTTTGTTCAGTTCTCCATACTGGACAAGGGTTGTGGTAATTGTAGTTGGGTCCTTTTCGTATTAAACCATGCTCCATGTAAGTCTTTGTCGGTCGTTACGTTCGTTTTGGGCAAAGACTGTTCCTCAGTCCAATCCCAGATCTCCAAGAAGTTCTGTACCTCGGAGAAAAGCTAAAGTGAGGGACAACCAAGAGAAGACCGCAAGAACAGGCATGGAGTTAAACATTGTTAACTTCGTATGTTATAACGTTTGGAGTTGAGACAAAAGCATGTACACTGTGCAATAATAATTATGCTGAAAATGCTTTTTTAATATCCTATAGTATCAGCCGTATGGGTGGAGTGCCAACGCCTGCGTAGAGACAACAGCATTTGTACCAGTAAGTAAACTACGAAGTATCGGTTTATTATGAGCCAAAAATTACGTGGTGAGAGAGCAAAGAGAGTTAGAATATTGGTGGTGATTGCAAGGTGCATAAACAGCAAGTAGCTAGCGTAATACTATAGGGAGCGCAGAGCAAGTGAAATTAAATTGGTTGCTGCAAGAGAGATCTAAGGGTCAATTGGCGATAGTGCAGCGGAAAGACTGGATGCAGATATTCTAAAGGAATATAGGTTATTGAGATAAGGAGTGGCTCCTAACAAGCACTGCGTAATCACATATGCATGGAGCCGAAGACCACTAGCTACTTCTAAACAGAGGTGCCAAATTTAAGTCGACCGACAGATGGTGGCGCCAGGCAAGACTATCAGTGGCCAGATGTAGCGATTCCAAGCAGACGCTTGGCCACTAGTGGATGCCTATAGGGTCACTGAATGCATTAACAAGCCATCGAAGGTAAGTGATACGGACATTCCAGGAGAATGTATGATGGAGAGACAAGGAATGTATCCTAGCAAGCTCAAGGTCTGCGCAGAATGGACATGGAGCATACGGCGAATTGCTGCGGTAGTGAGGAAGATAAGAAGAGTGACATATAGTGGCACTAGGATAGAGAGTATCAGTGGCCAGCAAAGGCATTCGGATTAAGCCTTCTAGTTACCAGTGGATACCTACAGTGACAGAAGAAGTCAACAACCAGCGAAGGTGTGATGCAAACAATTCAAGAGAATAAGTTTTGGAGGGATAAGGAGGGACTTCTGGCGCAAAGATCATTGCTACCTACAATGACTCGATGCAGCTGAAGAGTGGTGACACAGGTAATACGAAGAATTCATAATGGTACTAAGGGAGAGGGAGAAGCGGCGGCTAGCAATGGCAATGGTGTGAAGTTTTCTAGTGTCCCAGAATGAGTCGACAGACAGCAGATGCATGTGACGCACGCAGTCCAAGAGAGGAATAAAAGAGTGGCTCTTAGCAAGCTTCGGATATGCGCAGAGATGGTTGGGGCCTACGAAGAATGGCTCCTGCTAGATAGAGGTAATACGAAGAACTGATAATGGTACTAAAGGAGAGGGAGTATCGACGTCTAGCAATGGCATTGGGGTGGAGCCATCTAGTTGCTAGTGGATACCTAAAGTATCCTAAAATAAGTCAACAGACAGCAAACGTATGTGACACAGGCAGTCGCAAAGGATGAAGGTCGGAGATAAAAGAGAGTGGCTCTTAGCAAGCTTCGCATATCCGCAGAGATGACTGGGACCTACGATCACTAGTTGCCACTAAAGAGAGGTGCTGAGGTAAAGAGGATCGACAGATAATGGCGCCATGAAAAACTTTCGGTGCTCAGATGAGCCATTCCATTAGGCAGTTTGGTCACTAGCGGATTCCTACGGTGTCACAGAAAATTGATTTGAATTGTTCAAATTGGTCGATCTACTCGGGCAGCAGTTGCCACAGTAAAAGAAAGCTGGTATACACACACACATATTTACGTTTACTGTGTGTGAGTACATCGACCAATTTATCGATTAAGGCAAATCAATTTTTACTTCGTTCTGTTTCCGCCAATTACTGCCTCGCTTCAGCAGCCTATCCTGTTTTATCTAACCATTTCATACTTGTAAACCTCTGGTGAGATTTACGGAAAACAGTGCCGTTTGTAACCTTGGGTCCCAAGAATTAACTGAGTACAATTTCCCAGTGTTGGAAAAATGTCGTGAACGCAATGAACCGTAATGT